TGTAATTTCACCGGAACACAGTAATGCTGACATTACTGCTTGGCGGCAGGAATAGACAAGGTGGCAGTGGTTTCCTGAAGGAACTCTTTCATAAGGTCTACTGCTACAAAAAAATGGACTTTCTTCGTTGAATGGCGGGGCAGCATTTCACGGGTGGCTCTCCCACTACTTGGGCCCACACCGCTGCCCGAACTTGGGAAATTGGTCACCCGACCTCATAATAGCAACTCCCAAACACGAGTCGGAACACGGTAAAAACCATTTGGCGTCGGAATGGGTGGGTAGTTAATGCTCTGATGATATAATATTTAAGCCTGAAACATACTGACAGCGGGTGCAGATCGGGCGCGTGTCGGGTCGGGCGCGCGTTGGGCCGGGAGCACGGCGGTTGTAATTCCGTGTATATGGACGACAAAACTCCACGAGCGGGCGCGGGACATGACTTGCGCCCGTCTCTCGAAATGCGTGGAATTACACCCGCCGTGCACCCGCTGTCAGTGTGTTTCAGGCTTAAATATGTATTGTATGAAAATTAGCGCCATAATTCATGAATGTTTCAACCGCCAATTTCTTCCCTTGACAGCACGAGTTTTGCTGTTGACAGCTAACATTTAAGCCGCTATTTCGGGTCCGTATACAATTTTCTAGTCATGTATATAATTTCCTCGAATAAAGTGACCTACTTCTTACATGTTTATTTGCAGCGGTGTGCTTGGCCAATGAAGTACACTTACCTTACTTACGTTGTTTGGCTTTCATTGGAAATTGTTGTCGTTGATTGTAACAAATAATCTTTGAATATTGGTTATGTTTCATTATTTTGTCGGGGATAGCGTATATCCACGTAAGCGGTATTGATAAATCTAGAAACAAATTTTATAGGAGAGGGATTTAACATTATTACTTTGGTATATCAACGGCTTCGACTTTAGTTTTTACACAGTAAGCATTATGTTGTCTACGGACTGAGAATAGATTCCCGTTTAAGCGGATTTAATCACTTACCGAAATGGAAACTCATAATCCAATGCCGGTTACGAGTAATTGCACTATCTCCGACGCTTTTAATGTACTGGTAGAAAAAGTATTGTATGCAATCATTACGTAATAAAACACGGTACGCGACTTCAAGAACACTCATGCGATGGCATAAAATATTATTCCTCTCTCTTATTCCACAGACAAACATTTTTGTGACCGACTCAAGCTCCAATATTACAACTCCCTCGTGCTGGTCATTAAAAACTACAGCATTAATTATTTGGTGTAATTATATTTGAGGTGTTACTTGTATATTTAATTATTATAATAAAAATATATATTTTTTTCGTGTTTCAAATGCGTATTTTTATTTACTTTTATATATTTAATAATGTAGGTATAAGATAAAATAAAATCATATTAAATCAAAAAACCCTGTCCCGTAAGTTTTTACGAATTTTTTTTTTTACTAAGTTGAAAATGAAAAAGGGTAATAATTAAATAATGAAGCATAAATAATAAAATATTTTGACGGGACGAACAATTCGTGCGCCTGATGGTAAACTGCACGCCTGTCCATAACAGTTGCAGTGCCACTCAGAGCTTTAAATAGCAAAGATCTGAGACGTCACCCTGAGACGTAAATTGACAAGTCTTATGTGTCTGTCTCCAGCACCCTTATTACCCTTCAAGACCGGAACACAGTAATGCTGACATTACTGCTTGGCGGCGGAAATAGATAAGATGACAGTATTCTCTGCTGCTAAATTAAGAATAGAATAGAATAAAATACACATTGAAACGTCATAACATATAGATACAAAAAAAAATATTGATAAGACTTAGCGTCGTATTCCAGAACTCTACTCAGTGCTCAAGTGACTTGAGTCAGGGACTTGAGTATGATTTCGAATGCTTCAAACTATATTCAAATCCTGACTTGAGCATTGAGTACAGTTTAATAAAACAAAATAAAAAGACAATAAAATAAAAATATTAAAAAAAATCAAAATAAAATAAGACAAAACAAACAAAAAGCAAAATAAAAACTAATTAGAATGACTACAAATGTTGTACTGTCATTTGTGCGGTTGCGATGAACGCAATAGGACTTCATTCCGCTTATGCCACAGCCGTGATTGGCTGTGGCGCTGGTTTCCAAAATTACTACGTTTTTTGCAGATACTTTTTTAAATTAATTTCTTTAAACATTATTTTCTCGGTTTTGAGTTTTTATCACAATCGCCCTTTTAGCTAACGGTGGCAACATAGTCCACCACCCTTTTTTTTTTTTTAATTTTTGACGGGGGGAAATCTTTATGGATACCCCTGAGCCCAGGGAGACTCAGGGGTTATGTGGGGACTCTCCCTCTACACTGGAGGGCCTACCCCACTAAAACCCCCGGGTTTGTATATAGTCCACCACCTTGGCCCCATGCGGGTTGGGGACAAATTACTACGCATTTCATAACTTTTATCACGTTTAATCAGCAATTTAATATTCAAATTAAATATAAACAATATTGGAACTCGCCATTGAAGAGCAGAGAAGCAGAATACCAAAGAATTGCAATGGCAGTTGAATTGTAGCTCGATGGTGATAAGTAAATGTGAAGGAATGACTGAGTTCATATTAATATTTTTGAGTCAATTTCCGAACGATCGGTTATGAACGATAATTTAATAAAAAAAAGAGGAACACATTTTCCGTTTGCTTCTATTTTTATTCCCCGTCTTTAAATTCCTATTAGTATCCAAAAACCCAGATCAAAGTTCCA